CCCAGTTATTGGAACTCCATGTACATATGTTGTTCAAATATATTCCAATCCAATCAATAATGTGTTTTTTGTATTTACATACATTTTAAACACACTTTTATATGAAAAGAGTATAAAGATGAAACATTAGCATTTTTATGTTTCACAGCTAAAATATAAAATATAGGCAATTTTTACAAGCATGATTAAAAACAAGTCCTTTATCATTTAACATTATCTCACAATTTCACTGCCCCTAAGAATTCAGTAGTGACTGACATATCTGTCCCATTGAAGTTTTGAACACTTCAGTACAGGTAGAAACAAAAGCCTATCCAGAAAGGGTTGATTGGCTTGGTTATTTTTCCAACCAAATAAACTACCCTTCTGTGAGCACAACACCAGATCATTTGTTGAAGAGAATCTGAGCTGTGGGCAGCGATTCAGAGGTCTGAAACCAGGCTAGAGTTTGTCTGCATATTTATAGATCTGTCAATCACTTTGAGAGTGAAAGCAGGATCCAATCTTGTTTTTGAATTTTGATGGTGAAGGCTTGTTATTTACATTTATATCAAGGATTTGCCTTGACTACTGTAGACAACGAGGCTCGTAATTAGTAAAAGGTAAACTCAGGTGGTTTGCAGCATTTCACATGACACACTTTCAATTGGTAGATTTGTTTTGACAGAGGAGATGCTGTCCAATCATGGACCAGTACTGTGACTATTGAAGACTTAAGGTTAATTAATTCATTAACAAACTGATTTTATTTGCTAGCAAAATTGTAAACACATGGTTATTTATGAGCACAGACTGGCTTTTGTGGGCATGAAGCCTATATACATTCAGTTACACAATGATCACTGCCACCCCTTTCTTCCTACCATTGCATTTTAGCGTGTGGAGCTCCATTTAAGCAGCTCGGTGCTGTGGGCCCATTCCAAAGCAAAGTTATTGTAGTTCTCCTTGACATTGTAACTAATCTGAGATAGCCTGAGGCCTCACACTGTCAATTTTAGTAGGCACTCTGAATATACTAGGTTGCAAAATATAATTAAAATGAACCAGTTGTAGAAAACACTGGAAGGGGAAAACTGCATTGTATATTAGAATTAAGGCCAGGACCAGTTGTCTAACTGGATATTATTTAGGCAGAATACCGAAAAAAGTTTCAGATTTGTCTTGGTGGCGGAATACTTAGAGGTTATGATATAGTGTTATTTTCTTGCCTCTTTTTTACTCCTGTCAACCAAAGTCTGGATCAGTGTTGGACTGTACTTCCACCTGCTGGTATGTAGATGCCAAACAATTGAATTGTTAGACTTAGGGTTAGAGAGAAGAGAAGTAGTGGGGATCTCAAAAGGATAGCCTACCTTTTAGAGAATGTTAAACTTTTATTAAAGCAGTATTTCAACACATGGCAGGATATTTTCCCTTTAACTACACACACACACACACACACACACACACACACACACACACACACACACCCCTTCATAAGTGTTCAAGAGACCTCCAATATTCGCTGTAGTGGAGAGATCTGTGGTCCCAACTGCATTTCAGTCCTTTCATTGTGGAGTCATATTGTAGGTTTTCATTTGCAGGTGAGGCAAAAATATCCCTGAAAAAAGAATGAAAGAGCACGATCTCTGTCTGCTGTTTCAAGTTTCATTGTGTTAAGGTGAGATTTCCTGTTCTCCTTAATTCAAAAATCTTTTTAAAGGTTTGAAAATTGTGAGGTGGGAAATAACCTATTTTTCACATTTTGTGAAATTACTCTTTGCTGTATCTTGTTAGATGGAAATGTGATGCACCCTGGATTTGTAGGGAGAAAATACTAAACAAACTTAAACACAACTGTCACTGATGGTCTTCCCTCACATATGGAAGTAACTGAAATCCTGCAGAAAGGTATCATAGGGTTTTGGATTGTTAGCTTTGCATTATCCACAACAAAATGTTCTCAATTAACAAAGCTGCTTTGTTCATAATGGATGTGCATGCGGAATATTAATTAAAATGTCTCAATCAGTCAACATTTTCTCAAAGACCACATAGAAACATCATGCAGCTACAGAATACATTGACTTTTCCACTGTCTGTCAAACTGTAGATCGGCGTCTTTCCAAAAGAATAATTTTTTATTTTTTTTTAGCTGTATGATTTATGATGGTCACTGTAACATATTGTGTCATCTTCCTATTGTATGCAGAGAAAAGAGCTCAGTTACTTTGAAGTAATTTGTTTTGGTTCGTGGTCAAAACCTTCATCTGCCTGGACAGAACTGGATACTGAAAAATGCTGCCTTTCTTTACTGTCCACTGCCAAATTACCTTTGAGCAAGATGCTTTTACCCCCAACTGTAACTTCCTTTTCTGTCTTTTCACTGTAAACAAGCACTGTCATTACACGATTATTAAAGAAAAATCTGTCTCACTGTTACAGTTGACAGTGGATCAATGAAAACATCTAAATTTCTGTGGTTATTTGAGAAGATTTTCTTTTGATTCAGTAGTCATTTTCTGACTGTTTTTTTTTATTTAATAGGCTGTTCTTCTAACTGATGTGTCACTTGTATTTCTGTAACACTTTGCAGTCAATCACACAATGAATCATGCCATTGAACTGGTTAAACAACACTGCCATCCGCTGCCTGTGATGGGCACATACACTATTGTTGGTCACTGACAAGAGAGGAATAATAATAGAGGCTGCCTATGGTGTGGTTTTTTAAACATTCATTTATGCAAAGTTTGCCCTTTTCCTGCAACACATGAACAAGTTGACACTTTCACGTGCAACTGGAGCCAGCTGAAGCTTACTGAAGCATTTACTGTAGTTACAAGTGTCTGACTCAAAAGCACCTTAGCAGTAATTGCTAGAGAATGTTTAAACAGTAGCTTTAAAACTCTTTTGCAACTTGAGTGGATAAATATCTACCTGAAGTGAATAAAAAGCTAGAACAGTGATGGCGAGAGATAATTTTATCCTGTCAATGTAATTTGAGTTTGGGGTCAGTCTGTAAAGACTCGATAAAACGATACCATTTATGTGTGTCACTTGCTTTTATCAGCCTGAATTACATACTTTCTCCACACTCTGGCTCCATCTTTAAAGGTCATTTTTTTCTTTATATTCACAAGAAAAAAAATTGATTGATTTGATACAGTACCAAGAAAGCCCCTATAAACTTTTTTTATATTAAAGTGGTTGATTCACTTCAAATACAACAGTATCAAGCAATACTGTTAGATTTTACCTGCTGGTGTTTTAAGTCATCTGTCTCTGATATTTCTGCTGTCACCCCAATGCAATGGAGGTGAATGTAATTTTCTTTTCTGGTTTTAAAGAATTGAAAAAATAAGTTTTCATTGTAACCTTTTCTACCAAAGAAATAGTCCCACTGAAATAGGTTCATTATGAGGTCTGCTGATTATTTACAATAACTGGAACATTGTTTCTAGAGACATAAAACCAATACCCCCAGTAAGACCCAAACTACTGGCATGGCTCGACACCATTGTGAAGATGTCTTGGGTGCACTGAGTCTTTGAGATGAATGTGTAATATTAACTTTGATCTTTAAAAAACAAAGCAAAGCCCTAAATGTCACTTTACTTCTCTGTCTGCTCTTGCAATATGTTTAAGGTGTTTCACCACTTAATTCAAAGTCTATCCAAATCTTACGAAATGAGGCATTAATCTTTGTTTCAATTCATGTGACCCCAGTTTCATTTGTAGGGATCTGTGTGCATACATTTAAAGATGATTATGATATAACATTTTTTTAAGGAATGTGTAATGTAAGTATTTCAGCATTTTGTTACCACATACAAATACCACAAATTGTGTATCACAATATCTGATATTTAAACATGTTACTGTGAGGCTTATTGGTTGTAAGCCAGTTTGAAGGACTGTTCGTAGCATTCGTGAAATTAATTTTTTGTGCTGCTGATATATCACTGAACACATCTTGACTGCAGTGTTACAAGTAGAGCAAAAAAGTGTGAGCTACTCCTGTGGCACCGATCAGCTTGTTAGATGACTAGGGAGAGATGAACACTGACAGATACAAGTAAAAAGGATGTATTATTTAATTAAACACAGTCAAGTGTTTTCTGAGGGAAATGCTTTTCCTTTCCTTAAAAACTAAAATCCAATCATACAACCTTACCTGCTCAGTGGCTAACAGTGTAAACTGGGCAGTTGCCGGTGTAAATTTGTAGAGTAAAACTACTCGTGGGGCAGAATTCTGCCAGAAAAGACTATTCATTTTTTTCCTACAGCTAATCTTCTCTGGAAAAACAGAATGAGGCTGTTGTGTGTTTCTGTGTGTCCTGTGCTCCAGCCAGGCTCTTTGGCTGTCAGGGTTAAGAGAAAACTAAAGCACTTTGATTTGGAGATGAAACTGCCATTTAAGGCCAAGACTCAATCTCAATCGCCAAAGTCTGTTTTCTCTGCTGAGGTCAAAGTTCCTCAGTGCCCACACAACACAACACATACTAGAAAGAGCCCACACTGACTTAATGTGTACTGTGTTGATCTTAAAAGGGGCCATGAGCTGAATTTTAACATCAAGAATCATTCAGTTTCCAGACATGACTGTAGTGTTGAAAATCACAATCCGCCTGTCTTTTTTTGCCTCATTTTACAGATTTGGCAAGAACTCTGCTGGACTGATTTATAAGATTGTTCTTTGGCACCAAAAAGTTGTTCAAGGATCTCTTTCATAAATAAATAATGTAGAAGTTAAAGGAAAGAAAAGAAGGGGGGAAAAGTATGTTATTTTTTACCAGTTTTCTACCAATAAGGCTACCAACAGTCTTTTAATATACCAAAATTTAAAAATGCATTTTAAATGAACAAATAATTTTTTTTTTAAATAAACACTCTGAATTGAAGGCTCATTGAGTTCTAGACCAATGATAAGCATGATGTGGGTGAGAAGGGTTCAGAGAGGCCAGCTTACAAAAGCAGTTCTATGAAAGAAAAGATAGTCACATCACAGTGGTTTTGTATCATGAATCATTTAATCATATCCTGAAACAAAAAAGACTTAGTGCGCAGTGAAGAAAAAGAGTAAATAAATATAGTTTCTCAGAGATACACATTTTGCTTGATGCTTAGGATTTTATTTTCAGGACCTATGCTGAAAGGAGCAGAATACAGGCAGGCCTCAATGCTTAACGTACAATCGAAGGGTCTGACTGGATAAAAACGACAAAGGGGAAAATGAAAAACATTGCAGCTACAAGAAGAGAGAAAAAAACACAATCACGTCTTCACAGAAAGCATGTGGTCTGGTCCCCTAAAACGTCACTTCGGCCTCTTCAGGATGGTTGTCAGTAAATTGTACTTCGTTTTAAGATGTATGGCCTTCGGGACTTTGTGGTGTGTGCAGCTTGCCTCTTCAGTATGTAGGGTGATTTCCGTTTCAGAGGAGTGTCACTGTTCTCCTCTAAATATTCTAGGGAGTCATGGAGTAGCTGTAAGGGGCAGATAGAGACAAGGCGGTGTGTGAATGTTACACGATGAGGGGCGAAATGGCAGGCAAACACGTGTTTTGTTGCTGAGTGGCAAGGTAATGGGGTGGCTACGCCGGTGTAGCTGTGATGAAACAAGTGCTTCTGCTCTGTGCTTCCATGCATGGCAAAACAGGTGCTGATCTTCAGTCGCTGAGTTAAGATGTTTTTTTTTTTAAATGCTGTTGACAGAGGGGAGGCAGGAAGACAGGAGGGTTGTGGGGTGAGGGGGGGTGTTTACTGTGAGACAGGATGGATGGGCCCTTGTGTGCGAGTGTTTGTGGGATGTGACAGAGATTTAGAGTAAGCCTGTATATATGTGCCTGTGTGTGTACATGTGTTTTAAGGATTTTATTTCAGCCAGCAGAAGACGTGCTGTTATTGGCTTTACTGGCTTAATTTTGGTTTGTTTTGGCTTTTTGGCATAAACAATTGAATGGTACTGGTGCTCCGTATTTACCTACTTTATATTTCTTTTTCACCATTACATTTGAACCAGAAAATCATTTCCTTCTAAAATAATTATTAAGGGAAATATTGTAATTTTTACTCTCCTGTTGCTTTGCAAAGATAAACTTAACTTTTAGGCACTATAAAATATAATCTTGTTTTATCTGGATGATAATAGGTTTTTGATAAGGCTAAAAAGTGTTTGAGATTTTTCTCAATTTATAGAGCAGTGTGTAATCATTTTAGTAATCTGAGAGCATGGAAAAATTACAATATCATGGATGTGTGTTGACCAAAGATGAAACACTTTTTTTCATGTTGTTACCATATCAACGACTTGAACATCTGATACAAACCACCAAAAAGTACTTTAACTTACAGTACAGCACATTACTGCTAAAAGTTTACTTTTGCTACTACTTACTAAGTAGTCAGTTCTTATTTGAAAAATAATACACATAAATTCACAATACATAGTCTCAAGCATAAGAGAATAAGGTTGGCCAAAAGATAACTTATTTCCAAAAACTCTATAGCTAGGTGAATCTCACCCTCTCCTCCCGGCTCTGCAGCGCTTGGCAGATGTGTTGCAGGTTGTACAACTCCTCCAGCAGCTGGTGGCTCCCCTCCCTCAGCTCTCCGTCCTCCTTCTCCTCACCACTCCATGCCTCCTGCCGCAGGCTGCTCACCATCCTGCACAGATTGGCCAGCGACACACGCCAGTAGGGGGCACTCTGTTTATTCTGTTTCATCTGCAAACACAGTTTGAGAAGGATTAGGTTTCAAATTGAATTCAGAAATTGATATTCTAAATTCAGAACTTGCTAATAAATTAAATTCTAGTTGTAATGAGATGATTTAAGTGAAGTTTCAGTAAAAGTTGTGAACTAAGGTGAAGTGAAAATTGAGATGGACCCAGAGGGAGAGAGACCTCAGAGAATAAAAACACAGTTGTTTGTTTTTTTTATTGCATTTTGTCAATTTAACATTCAACTTTCCTACACAAACAGTTATTTTGGTCATGAACGTAGTGCGTTGATCATAGGATCCAGACAAAAATAGAGTGGATAATTAGTATAATAAACAATTATACAATTAAAGATTCAGTACATTTCTTAGTTATTCTACAACACAGTAGTCCCCCTTCAAGCTACACATACAGAACATTAATACAAATGTTTAGAATAAAGAAAAACAAATAAAACAATATACACAGTTACTTATATGACAGTAATATAAGGTAGTGGTATAGCAATGTGCAAAACCAGCATACCAGAAAGTTCCATATAATTTAATTATGGTGGCGTACAAAGGATGTGATCGAGTTAAGGAGTCTCACAGGCTGGGGGAGGAAGCTGCTCTGAAGTCTGGGGGTACTGGGGATACTTCTCTATCTCTTGTCAGACGTCTCGCAGGGTGAACAAGCTGTGGCTTGAGTGGGTACTGTCATTTAGTATCCTTTGGGCTCTGCGCAGGCAACTCACCTCACCGATGTCAATGGTGCTTGGTAGATGGGTACCAATGATTTCTAAGGAGTTTTAATCACCCAGTGCAATACTGTCCTGGGCTGAGCACATCCCATGCCAATTTCTGATGTTTCCAGTCAGTATGCAATTTGATGCAATTTAATCCAGTAACTTTGCTATAATTGGTACATATGTCTATCTTATTATTATGTTAATTTTTTGTTTCAGCTTGGATGCATCTGTGATATAAATTATGCTATTGCGGAAAACTACTGAATAGTGATTTTATAGTCAATGGTATTATTGTACTGCACTGCTTTATACTGTAAGTTTTTACTGTTAGTCAGTCCATCCCTTTATATACAGATACACTGAGGATGCCGCATTTGAGGCTTTCACTTTACGTTGTGAACACTGATGCAGACAGCTATTTCTTGAACATTCTTAGGCACCAGACACCCAGAGAGATATTTTAGTCGCATATAAATGGCCACAAGACATGATGTTGTAAAGACAGGAGCCATGTCGAATACAGGTTCCTTTTCGTTTGTAGGAGAGAGACATGTAATTAAAGCTGTAGAGACATCAAAAGAACAACAGACCAGGGACCAAACATAAGCAGCATTCATGTATCAAAGATTTCAGTTGTTTTAGTTTCGACTTAACTATTAAGTGAGTGGGGCCAGGAGGTGTTTTAATTGTGCTGAAAGGTAATTTGAAGGACTGTTTCTTTTCCAATATTTTAACACTCCCCGCTGGACCCCTTCTTACTAACAAACCAGCCTTTTGTCTCTGATGATTGAATTTTCAGTACACAGTTGGTTAGTAACTAAACCATCAACAGCTTCTTCTACTGAACCACCACAATAGCTAAGGTACCGCAGTATAAATAAAACTTCACAGTCATACTGTACTGTATGTTCTGCACTATGGAAAACATGCGCAACGTCTTTACAACAAGCAACTTAAAATTACTGCCAAAGCTCGATCTACATTCCAACATTGCAAGCAGGGAGTGCAAGGGTCAATGCCAAACGGGCCAGATTTACAGATGAAACCTGGCTGTGGAATAATGTAATCATGTTCAACAGAGAAATAAGAGCCAGAGAGGAAATATACCTTCTGCATCTAATCAGATAACAAGAAAAGTGGACAAGCAGGTCAATCAAATTTGTTGTTGCATAAAAATACACGAGTATCTCCAACAATTGTGCACTTCCCAGCCTCTTGAGAGCAATCTCAGTCATCTGGCAAGTTATCATTACAATCATCACCCATGGGCAACTTCAAAGCATCAGCAGCACTGAATCACATGGCTGATTTGTCACTGCCACGTCTCCATATGAGCACCATGGTTATTTATCAGACAGAGAGAGATGAGAAGGTGGTGTTATGATTTAGGTCCATCTGAATCCTATTACGCTATCCATCTCCTCGTGCCTCTAGTTCCACTTTCACCAACTTCATACCTCAGCTTTGCCTGGCCTTAAGCTCACACCACCAGATAAATGTGTTAAAAAAAAAAATCAACCAAATAACATCCCTTAGCCTCAGCTCTCATTTTCATCTCAAAGGACATGCCCCCGACTGTAGCAATAAGAGTGGGTCGATTACATTTTGAAGACTTATTTAATTTCTAATCAAAACACGATCGGTCCAAATGTAAGTTACACCCTCCTGTATTAAAAGATTTATCTCCCACTCAGCATGAACACAACCAAAAGGTGAAGCTGTGGCTAAAGCATGGATTCAGATTTCATGAAAGAATACGTAGGCAGCCTGGGTGTTGGGTCAGCTGGAGGGATGTAAAGGGTCACTAACTGACTGGGTTGTAGCTTTTTGGACACTGAGTCTCTGATGTCAGAGGTGCAAAAAGAGGGACACCGTACCTTGGAAGTAAAGAGACTGCTGAGTAGCTCCTCTTCTAGCGCTCGCTGATCCTGGTCGACATCTGTCAGTTAGAGGAGAAACAGAAATATAACCTTCAATCAAATCGAATCAAGAGTTAAATGAATCCCGAGTCACTGCTGCATGAGAAATGTCAATTAGAAATGAAAGCATAGAATTCTCTTCCAATCAGTTTGTCTTACTCGCATTGTTTTTGAGTATGCGTGTAGTTAAGAAGAGTTTGCAACATTTACATTTCAAGCACTACGTGAGGACAACCTGCTGTAAGCTGAGCCAAAACTCATCCCACATTCTTATTTTTTGTTTGACACCTTTGAGCATTTAACAGGTGACCCACTATTGATTTACAGAACTCCCAGTGTGCCCTGAGAGTGAAACAAAACACAAATTGATTATAATTAAGACTACAAAAAATATTTAAATGACATTGTCTGTAAATGGAAAAATCTGAAAGATCTGACTGGCTCACTGGACAAAAAGGGACTTGGATTAAGACTCTTAAGTAGTTCAGTGTAGCCTGTATATAATGGGAAATACATAAATAAACGTACTTAATTTGGAATCAATAAACAAAATCTAAATAATAAATACGGTTTACTCTGCTGTGGTTTATTTAGAGACTACCAAATGAGTTCTAAAACATTAAAATGAGGCATAATTACATCTGATCATTAAGGAAGGAGTTTATATGAGCCTAAAGGAGGGGGAATCCATATGTCACACTTTGTGTAGTAACTTCCATCCATCCATCCATCGTCAACCGCTTATCCTGCTTACAGGGTCACGGGGGTGTAGTAACTTAAAAGAATAAAAGTCTTAAGGAAATATATATTTTCAAAGTTATCAGCCACCTGAAGTCAACAACACTTTAATAAATTGTGGTGCCAGACATGGAATGACTACCTTATGAATAAATAATTTTGTCAACCAGGGTATTTTCAGCATTTAATCCAGAAATCCAAACTTGGAAAAGCATAATGTTCTGAAGACGCTTGTGCAAGTGCAAATTCTTTTCCATGCTTAAGAACATTCAGATTTTCAATTCTTCACTTTTAAACATTACCAAAGTGATGCACCTGTTGCATACAGGAAATTATGTGACGCAAATGGCTAGACTTTGCTTGAGCATTCTCCTTATCTTGTTACTCTGTGAACTTAACTTTTGATGAGAAATATAAAATCATAACACATAATACATACATGCAGTACCTGTGGAAAGAGCCCCAGTTCCTACCTGTGCAAAGTCCACCACATGTGAAACAGAGGAGAAGCATACACGCCAACTGTGCCTGCATCTTGATGAGAAACATACAAAAACAAAGGATCCAACACTGAAGAATTCACCTGAGGAGGAATCTAGTCCATAAGGTTAAGAGTCAGACACAGACAGTTAAAGAGGCTGGAGAGGAAATTTGCAGAGGATGCTGCCGTTTCCTCCTCCTCTTCTTCTTCTTCTTCTCCTCTACCAACTAGCAATACGCTTTCCCTTCTTTGCTGTTTTCTGGTTGGTTGTGAAGTGCAGTGGACTCCATTTCCTCAGTTTATAAGAGCCAATGTGATGTCAGAAGATCATTCTCTCACACCCCCACCTTCCCACCCACTGAAAGAGCCCCCTTCATCACCCATCCACCCATCCCTCTCTTCATATTGTCTCTTCCCTCCTGTCACTGTGTCATCGTTTCATCAGACGTCACTTTGCCATCACAAGGCGGAAGGTTTTTGCGTCAAGGTTTGGGAAATTTGGTTATTTCAGCTCATGAATGCACACAGTATGACGTTTGTTTTGCAATTGTCTCTCCCAGAAACACAGTGGTGGTGTGGGAGGGGCGGGAGGATGCACAACAAAGATTCACTGTTTGTGTCACTATTTGGAGACCTCATCTTTTTTGCAAATGATGTCTCTCAACAGGTGATTGTCTAGACTTAAAAACCAAATGAGTGCCTGCTAAAGACATGAATCATAGGTATAAGTAGACATTTATAAACATTTGGAAATGTATTTTTATTTAAAAGTAGAATTTTATTAATTTTTAACCTTCTCAGAACATTAGAAATAACGCAGAGATGAAGCTTACTGTAGTTCAAATTATAATTAGGCTATAGCCTAAAACAGTACTGTGCTGCAAATCCAGTAACGTAATAGGCTATCAACACACAGCTTGGCAGTGCATTTCTACATTTCAGGCCTGAAAATAAACTGTGCCGAACTGGTAGCAGAATTTGAGAACAAATTAATTCATAAAATAGTTGTTTTTAATATTTTTTTCCATGTGTTGTCATGTATGAAGAGACCCAAAATGAACACTGTAAGCGGACTACTTGAGTACTATAAGCACATTAATTTAACAGCAATTGTACAGGAATGATTCTGTGGTTTCTACTGCATTTATAACCTGAAACACAGAGATATCTAATGTGTATTTACCAATAAAAATAAAACAAACAAGGGATAAAGATCATCTTTATACATTAATGTCACAACATAAAACCTCTTACGTATTCTGCTGTCTGTTTCGAGGCTCAGGTGCTTTTGGTATGGTTTGGACTTTATGTCAACAAAAATTAATCATTTAAATGTTATGAAGTTAAATATTAACAACTTTCCTACCAGTTGTAAACTTTACCAGGATATAATTCACACTATTTATAAAATGACTGCTTTTTGGCTTTGTACAGCCATATGTAACCGACTGATTGATTGGCCATTGTATTTCAGCATTAAATTGTTCTAATTACAAACATATCTAATTGTTGTTCATTACTAAACACAAAACAAAAGTAATATGGCATCTAAGATGCCTTGAATTGTAATGTAAAAGGTGACAGGATGTTTCTTATGAAAAACATTGTTTGTAGTATATGGTAGACTTTCACATAAAATCCACTTTGATTTCTGAGTCTCCGTACATTGTAAATCAGTCTTAGTTTCACTTGTCTGTATTCGCACTGCAAAGAATTATATTATTTTAATATAGCGTATAGAGTAAATAGCTCAGCTTCAAAACATATGTGTTCTGAAAAAGATTTTTCAAGCATGATACACAGGCAGACTGGAGTGAAGGCAAGCTGCATTCCTCTCATGTAGGAAGTAGTCTGTTACCAAAGCCCAAAAGTGTAAATTTTCTTCTGCATGTCCTGTGCTGCAGCTCACTGAGACTGTAGTCATAGTTTTACTGTACTTACTTTTCATTACTTTTAGATACCCAATAAGAAAAATCAATGTGCAGAACTGTGTTTACTGCACTGTATGTAATGACCAATATTCTTTATATTCTGTAATATATACAATATCTGTGCAGATGTATACTTTTTATGTCTTACTTCCACATGGGCTATTTATTATGTCCAAAATGTGCATACTATATTCTTAATGGGATGCACTTTCTGGAATCATAATATTTATATAATATTCTCATATGAACTTTCCACATAAGTCACTTTAATCTGACCTCATCCTACTTTATTTATTTTTTTAATTCGCAGTGATTTACTGTTTACGTTTTTCACTTAACCGTGTGTCTCTATGAACACTTTGTTGAACACCTTTCTCTTGCATTTCTTCTCATACTTTCTCAGGTTGTTCCTGCAGGTGGAAGGGGGCAGAGTTTCACCAATAAATCTCAGTATTGTCTGGGAAACACCTCCCTCCGCTTTTCGGACGGGGCGGACAGAGTTGCAGTCGGGACACCCCGCAACTTTTCTCAAACACTGCACACATCGTCCGACGTCCTGCCATGCTGGGACTTTAACGAATTTCTGGTCGTTGGTCGTTGGTTTCCTTTCCCTCCTGAGTCATGGCTCCGTTTGGAAAAAACTTCTTGAAAGCTCGACTGAAAAACAGGTAATTTGATGAGAGTGAGGCTTCTTGTTTGGGATTCTGTTGATTGTTTCGAGTTCGGGTATGCGAAAGCACTCTGTGGGAACTGTTGAGGAGGGAGAATAACGCACATCGTAAAAGGGGAAAAGTTGCCTAAATTATTAATGCAGTTTTGATTTTACATCCTTATTAGCCAGTAATATTAGAAGCATAGGCCTACTGCAGGCGACAACAAAATGCAATCAACATAAATAACAACAAGGTGATACCGTGGGACAGTAAAATATACCTTAGAGTAACACAAATGCACCATTAAATACCATTAAGAACCACAGGGACACAATTGAACTTCCTAGGAATAATAGAATATAGGATTTTATGTCCGTTTTTTTTTTCAGTTATTAATAACCATCTAAGACACTTCCTTTACTGTTTTAAACCAACATCAACCAGAATTAGGAACTCCTAAATCTTATTAACTGTGTTAATACCATTGTAGGGGTAATACTGTATGTGGGAATATTACTGATAAGGAGGTATACCTATCAATATTTATTTTATTACATGTGTGTATGTGTGCATATGGAGGAGGGAGGGGGATGTAACCTTTAACACTTGAAAAACATTTTTTTATATCTCTATAGCCAATAATTTGACACTCAATAAATAAAACAGTAAGAAGTAGTACAATGTAACCTTTAGGTGGGAGATATTATTCCCCAGTCTGGAAAGTTTGAGTAAAACGTGTTTTTCGATAATGGTTTTCTCATTCCTGTCAAAGTATACTGCACTGTGAATCAACTTATGCAAGCTGTCACCTTCTGATTGAGGGAGATCCTGTCATCAGCACTAACACAACACTAATTTGCTTCAGTAATTTCTGTGAGTGGCTAGCTTGGCCTTTTGATGTGCCTCTTGCTGCAGCTGAGATCCAGCCTCAGCATTGAAAAGGTGGGAAAATTAGATTTGCTGAACCACAAACTGTCCATTATTGTGGCAGAAATGTTATTTGGACTGTTGACTGCAGGCTTTTGTTATGCCGAGTTTGTAAACAGAGTTTCTCTTTTGGAGAATCTAGGTCATGATCCAATCCTTCGCAGAATGCAGACAGGATTCATGTTTCCAAGACCGGGATCAGGAAGGTTTTAATTGTGGGTAAATAACTATTTTCATTAGCTTTACGTATTAAGACTCTCGTTTACCACCAAACATAGCGGAAAGGGTTTGGATTAAGTTCAGAAATGAATCAGGCTTTTATACTAAATTACTGTAAAAATACTTTGACAGTGGCACCAGCAGCAGAATGGATGTATTTTCACATCACACACAGAGCTGAGATGAATTATCTTTGATCTCTTCAAACAGTCTGACTGAGGCTGTCTCCAGTGGATGGCTTATTTTTTTTCATGTTGTGTAGTAATTACCACTGCAGCACCTATAATTACCTCAAGTGTTTAGATCTGTAGATATGTCAAACGCTTGATTTCAGAGACTCGCTTTTGCTCGCGCTGAGACATTGAGCTGGATGTTTGCTAAAGAATGACAAGTTGAAGCTGATGTGGAGTCAGCTGAAACATCAGAACTTTCTCATATATTCAGAAAAAAACTTAAATGTGGCGATGATTACAGTCGACAACACTAGTTTTAATCCTTTTTGCCATCAAAGAATCACAGTGTGTCATCAGGGAGCCATATGCGTCAAACTAGTGAAACAGCACATGCAGGCCTCAAAGGGTTTGACATTTAGTGGTTGCTAACCGGTGACATGTAATCCAAAGCAATGTATCGACCACTACCACCTAATCTTGACCTCAATTGCAGCATTACAGCATTGTGCACAGGACCTATTAGCTGCTGAAATTATTTTATTTTTTTGTTTGCTGTGGCCTGGCCTGCTAATTTGTCTTAACCAATCAATTGTGTTGAAAGAGAATAAGTTATTTATTTTCACTGAGCAAAAGTGTATTTGGGGATTCACAGATCTGCTGGGGGGAAGAAAATTAAAAAGGGTGGGTGGTTTCACAGAGGAAAGGAAGGGGAAGGGGTGTGTTGTGTCTTTGCTCACAGATGCCTATCAGAGCGGGAGTCATCACAGAGATGAACATATCCAGATAGAAAAGCAATGTTATTTCCTCGCCAATCCCTCATCCTCTTTCAGATAAGACTAAGAGGAAGCTTCTCCTTTTTGAGTGTCTGCTCTACTACAGTCTGTGTACCTATTCTAAGAACCAGGAAAAACTATGTATATACTTTCCATGTCTAATATATCCATGTTTTTGTGAGGAAGAAAGTTAAATTTTGGTCATTTCTGTTTTAACTTTAGTTGAATAGAGTGATGGTCTTCTGTGGTTACATACAGTCTATGACAGACAGGGCAGATGAAACCTTTTCAAACATGATTGGCAAACTCAGGTATATGGTGGGAAGTGTAATCGTCGTGTTTTGTGGCCGGATATAAAAAATATGGGGAGCAATGCAAAGGTCATGTGTCTGGAATGTGATGTGTCATGTTCCACAGCAGACACTCAGCTTCCCTTCAACTTATTTTAAAGAGTTGGTTTCAAAGTAAAACATTTTCTTGCTTAGCTTTAGGGGTATGCATCGGGTTTTTTTTTTACAGAGACTTATTTCTTTAGTAGAAGAAGTGTAATACCAGTGAAGTCGGAGGATTTTCTAGAGTAATAGAGACACTTTTTTAGAGAGAGATGTTGCTTCTACATTTCTTGCTCTACTAGCAGTGTGCCTCTGTGAATGGCAATGACAGTCGGTCATTCCACCATTTTGGTCCAGACTAAACTAGCTTAACAACTATTGGATGGATGCCAGAAAAGAACTTTAGTAATCCCCAACTTTTTTTCCATTAGTGATGTTTGTGATTTTCAGTGAAATGTCTCAACAGCTATTGGATGGTTTGTCTTGACATTTAGTACAAACATTTATGTTTCTCTCAGGAAAAACTATAACATTGTTGGTGATCCCCGAAATTTCCATATAGCACATAGCATCACCAGGTCAAAATATTTTATTTGTCTAATACTTTGGTCTATGATAAAATACCTGCTATCTAATGACATTCCCATCATTCTCAGCTGTACTCTGTGTTTATTGCTAATTAGAAAATGTTAGCATGCTAACGTGCTAAACTAAGATAGTAATCATGGTAAACATTGTGCTTATTATCAGCATATTAGTATTGTCATTGTGAATTAGTATTTAGCTCAAAGCACTGTTGAGCCTATAGCATGGATATAGACTCTTAGGCTTGTTTAAATTAAACTTTTTCATTGCTGTGAGCACCACAGACAAATTCACAAGCAGAAATCTCATAAATAGATATCTTCCGATGCTGGCAATATAACATTATCTGCAAGGCTATTAGCCGGAAATGTGAAAATATGTTTTATGTATTTAGGTTAATCAAGCCTTTAATAGAGTTCCAGTTGCAGTTTTCCTCAGGTTTTACTTTATAATCTGTTCATTTCAGTATCTTTTGATTTTCTGAAATTCTCATTCCATAGCCAGGAAATCAGAACCTGTTGACGGCAGTGGCTAAAGGATATATTCACTGATATGCTATCACAGCTTTGTTTCTGTTGTAAATATCTGCATCACTTTATCATATCACTATTGATATGAGAAAACATGCTGAAACACTGGAGAGCTATGATTCTGTCGTTTGTTATGACTCGTTCAAACCACCAGCATGCAGTCCTCTGTGGTAACTTGTAGCTTGAAAATTTATGACACAGAGGGAATTGTTAATGTGTACAAGGTTGTCATTATGACTATACGATGGAAGAAAGCCATGCCACCACAGTTCTACCGTAATCATCCCATGCAGAAACTTGTGTTGAAAATTTGTATCTTAAATGTGGTTTCCTCCCATGCCTAATCTCTCACTGGGCATCTCAGCTTTTAAGTTCAAACTGAGGTCAAGCGGGTCTGCTCAGGTTTCTTGGGTTCACTCAAGTGTGAAATGTCTAACCCGTCCTGTGTTATTCACTGCACAGAATCCATCCCCACTATGACAAGAACTTTCTATTTAAATATTTCTATTCATCATGATGCTTCCTAATTCTATTGGCACGTTTCCACTCAAGGTTTGAGTTCATCAGAGTCAGTGTCAGCATTGTCATTTATCACTCAAAGCTGTGACCCATGAAGGCACCCTCATTTGTTGCGTCTGGAACCATAGCTTAATCCCAAGCTATGAATATCAAATGGCACCTGAAATGACAGCCCTTATGAATGTAGTAGCTGCGATGCAATCAGCCCACTGGTGCATGTAGTATTTGTGTTTGTTCTATTAGGAAGTAGAGAGGGTTAGGGGTTTTTTATCTTTCCAGAAACTGTTGAAACTGATGAGACTGGTGCTATCATTTAATCATATGTCCCCCCTTACTGTTTTGTGAGATTACAGTTTTTGTAGTCTTAAGGAATTTGACTTTCAACCTACAACATCTCAAGAGTTCTCCATTAAATTTGTCTAGGTTGCAGTTATGTGAATCATTGTTCCATTAAGAACATTACTGGGGCTTAGAGTTGAGCATGCTGCAGGTTGTGTTTTCTTGATTGCTCGTCCTACAAGGTACAACAAGGTCTATACCAAGATTTTCCAGAAAACTCCAAGCTATAAAAAGTCTGTAATCAGAAATCTATTAGTGACATCACAGGTGCTAGTTTACCATGTTTTTCTACATTTCATGTTATAAAAACTGAGGAAGTGCAGCTCAGAAAGGTAAAATATTCTCAATGTTTGACTTAAGCAGTAGTGAAAACAAATAGTATAGCATATAGTAGCCAAATGAAAAAGTAAAGTAAGAAAGACAAAAAGCCATATTATAATAGCATTCTTGGAACCACCTCAAAAGTTATATCTAAACCACCATAGTACTACTGAAGGTACTGTAGTTAGCATAGCGCTGCCACAGTCATAGATTTGTCAACACCTTCTTCACATTAGAGTGCAGTTGAAAACAGACCATAGTGACTGGTATAGAATCCATTTTCCCCTTCCTCCCTCTGTTCATTGAACTGTGGTGGCAGGATGTTGTCTGAGCATTGGTGATTGTGGCCCAGGACAAATACAGGTGTTTCCATGCCTTGCTGTACTCTTTTCCTGCACAGCTGAGGGCTTGGGTCAGCTTCTCTGAAATACCCAGTGGTCTATAGAGCCTGTTTATTCACCTGTATGTTCAGATATGACCATAGACAGTGTACTAATCATGTTCTTATTTTCCTTCTCTTTTCCCTACCCTGTGTTACCAACTTTCCTGATCTTTTTTGCCTCTTCTATTCTTCCTTCCATGCATTGCAGTACAACAGTGGTTCCCAAATGCTGTGGCCCTAAAATGAATCCACATTTCCACTTTTGATCCCTCATCACAGCTGGTGGGAGATGTTTTCAGATCCATTATTAATTAACAATTCACCATAATTTATAAAATGATCATTTTCTGTATTTAAAATCTGGAATCTGTTGTACTATACTGCAGCTAGTAACTACTACAGCTGTTGTGTGTCCAACTGTAGTGGAGAAGAAAGAACAATACTGTATTTCCCCCTAAGCAGGTATAAAATGACATAAATGACAATACTGATGTACTTCAAAACTGTACTTGAGAAATGTATTAAACTATTTTGCTAATACACCAGTGCAGGTTGCACATGTCTTTTACAGTTCAACCTGATTTTACCTTATAAACTCTCCTAATTGTTTGAATTGATAAATTTAAAAAATTTGAAGAGTTAAACTATCTAGTAAACATTTTTCCTGACTTTATAATTGATAAACTATGATTTTCTTTATCTTCTTTTTTTCCTCTTTACTGTCCTGTTCATCAGCTCTTGACCCTTCAGTTCTATTTTTGACCTCCTGAGCAGGCTTAGATTATAGAGGAATCATTTTTGAATTTCTCTTAACAAAACTGAATATTATAAGCTGAAAAAACATATTACATGATGCAGAGCTTTTGGGTTTGATTGCATTATATATTGTATAGGTGTGGCCTTTACTCTGTCCACCCACTATTTTCTCTCTTGTGCAACAGTAGCAGTAGTTTGCGGGGTTTCCTGAGTAGGTGGTATATGGAAACTCTAGGGTCAAAGTCGGCATGGTTGTTGTCTTTGATTGCCAGAGGCGTGCTGAATTTGTTTGGCCTGCGCATAGCTCAGGTATTTGCTTTGCGTCGCTCGTCGCCAAGGGTCTCCATAACCATTAACCAGCCACTTGCATTGTTGCACACGTATCGCATTCCTGAGATCTTATTCACCGCCAGTTTACACAATGTTCCAGTTGTGTGTTTTCATGCCGTGTGGAAACCAAAACACAGTGGTATCAGACTGTAAAATCAACAAACTGCAGGATAATGCAGCATATAAGTTCTCCTGTTTGAATAATTCTTAATACATCTCACTTGTGTTGGTGTGCAGGCGGGTAGTATCTGTATCATCTTCAGAGGATGTGTATTTTTGTCTACCCTCCCTCGTGACAATCATTGGTTAATGTCGGCTTGTGTCAACCAAGGTTATCTCCAGAGATAAAGACAACAGCTACATAATGCAACGTTCAGATCTGAAACCATTGCTGAATACTGAGGCAAAGAACAACAACTAACATTGAATAGCCAGGCTGAAACATTTCAGTCCCACAGTTTGTTAATTTTTTTTGTAAATATACTGTAGATAAGGCTATTGTGTACTAATCCTTGGGCTCTTACTTTATTTTGAACTGAAATGCAACCTCTAAAATACAAGCTGGGAAAAACCCTTAAAAATGTATTGGTTAAAAACCACTTCACCCTTATGGTTTCTGTCCACTTGTGTGAACAAGTCTCTTGCTGAGCTACAGCTAAATTTCCTCAGTAATGTCAGAAGAGTTTGCTATCTGAAATCATTTTTGTGGACTGTAGATGAAACTTGACATTAACCAGGATTACACACTCATTTCTGATTTATTACAGTTTAATGTTTTGCCTGTTTGGTTGTAATACCACAGAGAAACATTTCTTTAATCCCCAAAAGTCTGTCTGCAGTTCAATGTCAGAGGACGAGCTCCAGGTTTTGTCTCTTGGTGACATTATACGGATAGTCTTTCTCTCTCTTTTCTCTTGGAGACTGAACTGCTGTAATTACAGGAGTATTATATGTCGCTTATTTTTTTCTTTCCGAGAAGGCTTTAACTTTAAATATGGGTAATTCACTGAGACAGAAACTTGGCAGTCAACTACAGTACATCAGAGTTAACCTAATTAAATCACATAAATTTCAGAAAATTCCTAACATTTTATCTTTCATATAAATGATAACATGATACATCATTCTTTATCTTGAAATCAAATTGAAATGTCTGGCAATGTTATCTACTTATTTGATTAGTTGTTCATGTTGTGGATGTCTGCATTGCCGGTGCCCATCATTTAATGACCTTGATATTACCGGTGGTCCATTAAGCATGTAAAAATGGATATCATCGGCCCATCAGAGGTCAATTTTTGAGCAAGTTTTACGGTCCAGATGAAAAGGTAATGAGGGCCTTGGGGTTAAATAGCTCAGAACTGAACGATTAAGTGATCATCTCTGATGAGAAAGACGATGAGTAACAGTCTAATAGAATCAAGCCAGGGAGCGCAAAATGAGCAAATGTCGTTTTCTAATGGAAAACCATAAAACTAGGATCTATTTAAGAAAAAATACTAGTGAAAGGATTTCAAAGGCATGAGTGGGAGTGTATGTATGTGTTGTACTTCATACTGCTGATGTAAAGAAGCCTGTGAAGCATTTGAGCTTACCTTTAGTAAACATAGTTGTTGGTGAAGTCATGGTTATGGAAAGGATGGAAATGTCGGTTTTGTGGCCATTCAGTCGTGTACCAACCTGTTTTGGACAAATTTATGATAATAATGATGGTGCTTAATGAAAAGTCACAGGATCAAAGTTGATCCAGTTCAATCAAAGGGGAACATGAATGTTTTACCAATAACATAACAATCCATCCAATAGTTATGAAGACATTTCATTAAAAAAAATAAACAGAGGTAATGCCAGGACATTATCAAAGTCAGTTTATCCTCTGGGGACCATGAATGTCTGTACAAAATTTCATGGGAATCCATCCAATATTTATTAGATATGTCAGAAGTAGTAGACCGACTAACCAACAAACCAACATTGTCTTTTGTGGAGCCACTTTGCTAGCATGACTAAAAATGCCCAAAGAAAAATTTTAACTATTCAGTAAGTAAAACTATTTAAACATTTGTGATTGTTGTCCACAATTACTCATTTAGCTAACTTACACTTACTAGTTGTGTCAGAAATTGCAAGCCTCTGGAGCAATTAGGGGTTAAGTGTCTTACTTAGGGACACATTGATGGATGTGTCACTTTGGGAATTGAACCGCTGGCCTCTCACACCAAAAGCATCTGTTTTATCCACTGCGAGCCCTCTCTACACCAGTTTGATGACTTCTGTGTGTTGTAGAAATCTGTGTTTACATTGTTCTAGCCTTTAACAAGCAGCTGAACCACAGTGGCCCTGCAACTACAAACTAATACCAAAAGATAACAAAAATTTAATTTGGGCGAATGTGTATAACATGATGCACAAAACAACTACATTATTTCCATTTTATGGAATGGTGAAGGCATTAAAACCATGGAGTCTTGGGTTCAAATATTGTACTGTTTGAACATCATTAGATGACGGAATACTGTCAGACTGTATAAACCTTTTTTCTGTCTCTTTCCTAGGACAAAAGATGCCGAGCCTGTGGTGGGAAAGGAGATTCAGGTTACTGTCTGCAACGAGGAGAAAGTCATCTGTGGAGTAACAAAGCACACAACATGTGCAGATATGATTCAGGCATTACTGGATGATCACAAGTCAGTCCCAGAGAGCAAGCGGCTCCTGCACGGGGAACCAAAAGACTTCTGTCTCGTTGAGCGGTGGAAGGGTTTTGAGAGAGCCTTGCCTCCTCTCACCAGAATCCTGAGACTCTGGTATGCCTGGGGTGACCAGAGACCCGCCATCCAATTTATTCTGGTCAAAACTAGTGATTTTGTTCCTCAGCCCACCAACAAGGGTGGAAAGTCCAAGGGGGCCAAACCAAAGAGATGGGAGCAGGGTCGCGCTCAGTACACTCAGTCTCTGCCGGTTGAGAGGCAAAAGCGAATGGTGAAGAAAGCTTTCCGGAAGCTGGAAAAGATTCATAAGGACAGCAAGAGCTCCCAGGGTGCTGACGAGATCGACAGGATGGTGCAGCTTATTCTCAACCAGGACCACACCATCCGAGAGCAGATCCAAAGCATGAGAGAGCTGGATTTGGAGATCGAGCGGTTTCAGCTACAAGCTCAGAAAGAAGCGGAGTCTGAGAGTTCACTAGCTCTCGCTAGTGGTCAGAGTTTGGAGATGCACAGTGACAAGCAGCTGCACGAGTACCTGTACACAAGTGATGGAGTCGAACAGCTTGAGCTGCAAGTTCAGAGGCACCAGGAGCTTATCCTCCAGTTGTCCCAGAGTATTGACGCTGAGCTAAGGAGGGCAAACTTCCCTCTGAACAGTGAAGAACAGGAAGGAGCTGCGACTGCTTCCTGGATCCCCTTGGAAACAGATGAATCATTCTACACTGCTGAACTCGAAGGTTGCAGGTTGAACTGAAGCGCAGCCTCTTTACTGGTGTGTCTCTTCACAATCAAACTGCAGAAATAGAAAAGCAGCTGAAGTACTATGGTGCTACGCTAGTCTCCAAGGATCAGGAGTGCTGGCAGCTGGCTGCCCAGCTGAGCTCATTGCAAATTGAGGACAGAGAAGAGGAGGAGGAGACCATTCCTGTCCCTCTGAAAAGTGAGACTCAGTGCAACATCTCACAGACAGTGAAACTCAAACACACCCTGTCCCCTCCAGACATTACAGATACAGACTCAGACACTGGGATTAGCTCCACACACAGTCAAGACTCACTGTCACCATGTCTCGAATTCCCTCCCCCACTGGACACAGACGTCTGAACAACCCAGTTGACCTTATATATATAATGTAATGTTAATATAATGTTCTGATTCAGACATAAGCATTGTCTTTTTCTGAAAGATAAATCTCTGGCGATCTTTTATGAAGCATTAAGGTCATTTAAGTGAAATAATAAGTTTATTAATGGAAAATATTTTCATTTATTTGATAATAAATTATGCAATTTATTAAGCAAAAATGCCAAAAGTTATTTGGTTTCAGTTTCTCAGATGTAATGATCTATTGCATTATTTTATTATATTTTCTGAAAATCAGTTTTAGAATGTTGGTCAACAAACAAAAAAAACAATGGGTGTTACCTTGAAATTATAATGGGCATATTTTCTCATATCTGAGGATACAGCTGCTAGTTTTGTTAAATAACCTTCCAGGTTTCTCAAAATCAAAGTGACAATGCTATATGCAAGGCACAAAACTGGAGCTACTATGTATGCAAAAACTATAGTAAGCACCAACTATATAGTGTTTTTGACAGCTGGGTTTGTCGACCTTTAAGTGCACATTTTTATCCCAAAAGAAGATAAAGACTATTTCCTTAGCGCAACCATGTCTAAGGTGTACAAATGCCTTCTGTTTAATTTCTTCATAATGGTGAATGTATGCTTCTCTCCCTTCTTAAAGTTCTCAAGCTATTTATCAAGCTACACTTATTTGTACACACTTATGAGTCTATTAACAATGTTTTATATTAAAACAAATAGCTATAACTGTTTGTGGATGTAGAATTTAAGATTTGTTAAGACTTTAACAATCCTTCTAACTACACTGTAAATATACTGCTGCACTGTAAATGATTGTTATTATGACACAGGCACAATTTGTAAAGTGAGATTAAATATTTGTTTATTGTGTAATTGTATGTTACAGATGTTATATGACTTTATCCCCTCTGAGGCAATAATGTCTATTTCCCATCAACCTGATCAACACATATTGAGGGCTTAAATAATGCAAAATCTGTGTAAACCATTCCTAAAAACAAAAGCTATGATTAAGTAAAATGTACATTACAATAATAAACACTAATACTGTACATGTCACAAAGATAACTACTCCGTTGTTGATTTTGTTGGTTCCAAGCATTGATGATTTCATTATTTCCTCCAAGTGGGAGGCATACGGTTTAGCAACAGTGCTGCTGTTCTGGAAGGTGTTAATGCTAAAACCACAAGGACAAAACAACTCAAGGTTCCAAAAACACAGAATTGACTCTTATAGATTCCTCAAAGCCCTGAGTCACCAGAGAGACATGACACAACTCCTACAAAGCAGACTTTCAGTCACTGCAGCATATGATCAGACAAGATGGTCGCCAGGCAAGCACAAACAACAGCGAGCACTCTCCCTTTGTCAAGGTACTGCTGAAAGACTAACACTTTGTACCAGGGGCAGAGCAGGGCTGGCTGCTGGAAAAGCAGAGGATATCAATTTCACCCACTAATTGCTTAACCCCCACACCTCCTCCCACTTCACTGCTTCAAGCCACTAAGTAACTCCACCAAGCATGAAAGGCCAGAGATCTTAGAATTTGAACAATCTTGCACCGGTGCCTCACACTTATTGATGGAATGGGGATTTATTAAGGCAAATATAGCATGTTCTGTTTCACCAACAGGCACACACCAAGCTGGAATAAAAGGGCATTTTGTGTAATTTATACTCTAATACAAATCTGACCTGTCTTGAGTTAGTGGAAAGAAATGTTGAAATGTTGAAAACTGAGCCTGCCAGTCAGTCAGAACTGAAGAAGTCCTTCGGATGAGGGACGAAACGTCTTCCAGTATCTTCAACCAAGTCCAGTTGCCCTTGATTTTAACCTTCGTTGGATAACTATGACCTGGATGACTGAGAATCTTCATAGACAAAACTGAGACTGTTGCTCAATCAGAGGCTAAGAAGATGCAGAGGGTTGTGTCGCTTGGATCTAAAGTTTAACAGTAATTTCAATCACAAGAGACTTGACCAGAGTGAACAATGATAATTTATTGACATGAGATACATTGAATAAGAAAATATAAAAAGTAATTTGGCGATTAAACTCCATCATGATGCCGTGGTATATAATGGGGGTAGTGAAGCCGCAGAAGCATAGAAATTCTAGACACTGGGGGTGAAGGAATGAAGAAAAGGATGAGGGTCTGGAAGTGATGAGGAGGACTGTGTCGAACCTGAACTGGGCCTGGATCTGATGAGCGTGTGGTGAATGGGGTGGAAGAGGGCCACAGCAGTTTGTACTGAAATGACAGCTGGCAGCAGAGGAGAGCACAGATTTAAAAAGTATTGTAGTGACTACATGATCTGCTGTGCTAGTTGTGGAAAACTCTGAATGGAAAACAAGGAAATAACGCCCATAGTCAGCTGTTAGAGGACAAGGAGATAAAGAAAGAGTGCTGAATGAGTGAAGCATAGAGATAGATTGTGATAACTTACGCTGAACATCATTGGTCGTTATACAAAGTTAAGGTCATCTAGGGGCATCTGGTGCAGTAAGAACTGTTATAATTATTCAACAACAATATGTTTAAGAAACTTTCTTCAGGCACTCTTAAGAATGTCTACATACAATACAGTATGGGTGTGATCAAAGTTATTATTACCATCATCGAGGACAAAAAACATTTTTCATCTTCACCTCAAGGCATCCTTGATTCACTGCATGTACTGAAAACTTTTTAAACAGGTCCTCAACATTTTTAGATTAATGTCTCCACTAGTTCACCTCATTATTTAACTGGCAGATGGCAGTAAATAGTGAAATGAACTGATTTTGGCTCTGGGTTTTCAAGACCTCATTTATTGCTGTTGTGAAGACAGCTGAGGCACCAAAAATAAGTTTTATAAATCACAGGATGTATGAGCCTTAAACTATAATAATGTAATGCTTGACAAATTGTAAAAGCCTCAGAAATAGTACTCCCAATAAGACAGGACAATAAGATTCTTCAATATTTAGTGTTACAGAGTCTTTGGAATAGTCTAAATGGAAACTTTTTGGGGCACATACATTGTCCCCAAATTAATATACTGTATTTGCAAATCCCAAAAAATTATTACAATTTCCTACGCAAGATATATATATATATCGCTATCTCTATATCTATATCTATCTATATATATATATATATATAGATATAGATATAGATATAGATAACTATTGATAACTGAAAACATGCAATGTCTTTATACATACATTTCAAGCGCTTCTGGAAATTGTAAACAATACAAATAGTGCAAAGAAGTAAGTATTGACTGGATAGTTCCTAGTTCCAGGGAGGCTGCAGGCACAGGTAATGTTTACCACTTCTCTCTGCCGCAGATCAGGAACTCAAAGACTTGCCAGCTCGCAAGTGTGTTTGCCAATAACAATAATTACACCAACCAAAATGACAATTAGGCTGACTGCAAACCTGTCTTTGTTCAGCCCTCCCAGTTACGATGACTGGCCAGCTTGAGTAAACCATAATTTGTTATCAGCTGTGGTTTCAATGCTAAAGATGAAAAGCTGATATTGAACAGTATATATTTAGCCAGAAAATATTTTAAAATATGTTATAGACTGAACACAGGAAATATTGCGTATTTTGTGTTATTTTCTTTTTGCACAGGCCTTTTTTAGGAAGCAGTGAGATAAGAGTCAGGAAGACATGACATGAAGTCTACTGGGTGTAATAGTGTTTGATCTGGTTGAGCAGCTTTCACCATCACCAAGGACCAAGCCCTAATTGGCAATTAACACATTTCAACAGTCTTTAGTTAACAGCATCTTGCACAATATGAGGGATGTCTGAGATCAGCATTGAAGAGGAAAAAAATATTCTGACCCTATGAATGTTACATCTTAGAACACACTAAATAAAGTCAGACAATCAGTTGGTTTAAAGATGTAATTAACTATAATTACAGCTACCAATCTATGTCATTTCATGTCCTTAATTGTGGATATATTTATTATCAAAAGTATTGGAAGAGAAATTGAGGAGAGAAAAAAGACTCATCAACACTCAGGTGAAAAAAGCATATTTAACACACATTAAATTTCCTTTGGCTGAAATATTTGAATGCTTTAAATACATGGCTCAAACAATCATATGTGAAACTCTGAAAAGCAATTTGCAATCTCTGATTAGTGAAGATAGATTCATTATTTAATGCAAACAGTACTGTTTTGGGAGTTAATTTTCACTGTGGGAACTGGATACATAAAACTGAATGATGTTTGGAAAACCACTGAGGAAAATGTTTGAGGTTTATGGATGACTGAGATAAGGCAACTAATGTTGTCTGGGTGTTTTTAGAGTCCAGTAATAATTGTTTCCAAACTGTCACCCTGTATCCAGTGGGGTCAAATGGTTCTCAAGAAGCATGAAAATGCTACCTTTTTGTCTTCACACGTTTTGTTTTTCAGGAGAAACGTATACATGACCTTGTGCATGTGCCAAAATCCTGCACTGCATGTGTTTGGTGGTGTTCCCACAACACGCCCAACCGTAAACTATGTGACTGTGTGATTATTCTATGATTGTGTTGAAAACTCAAATCAGTCTTTCTGCTCATTGTTGCATCAATTCCTATAAACCTCATCTCCCTACATTTACTAAACTCAGACTCCTGTAGCACTGAAATTGCTGGCAGCAGGTTATGATGAAATGGGACAAAAAAAAGAGTCAAAATTATCTGTGACATTAAATAATGTTCATGCAGTGGCCCTGCAATAGTCCCATCAGCCAATTTTAGTCACATTTACGATCAAGCTGGACGAGTTAGAGCTTGTGAAAGTTGTTCAAGGGCCTTGGGCTTAATTGCCTCAATCAAAGCACATTTGAAGTGCCACCCCGTCCAAGAGGCATGAATCATTTGATAAAAGATCCCAATAAACTGTTGCTGCCAGGCAGCAACAAGAGAGCTAACAAGAAAAAGTGAGTGTGTGTGTGTGTATGTTGTAGATGGTGGGAAACCTACTGGCTGCTGTTTTAAAGAAGGGAAATTTTAGAAATATGATCTAGGTCTGTGGTTTCTTACATTATTGTACACAAAATAATTTCTCCACCAGTTTTGATTCAGTATCTAAATTAATGTATTCTGTGCAAATACACACTTCAAATGCTCGCTCTTTAATCCATGCACTACCACCTCCCTCCCTCCCTGCCAGCTTTAGTAAACACATTTTATTTTGGCTTGGATGTTAATTTTCCTCTTTATTTACACTGCTGTCCTGGCCGAGATTGTTTGCTTTTCTGCAGGTGTTCTCTGAAGCTCTTCACTCCTCTGTCACACAGCCTTTCATTACCAAAAGGTGGAGAAGCTTGTCGCCACTCAGTCAGATGAAGACAGAGACAGACTGGAACGATGATCTCAGTCTGTTCAGACAGAGAATCAGAAACAAAAAACAGAAG